AAAATAATTCGAAGTGGTCTGTATTCTGTCGAAACTGCCAGACGCGGATCGCGATTTCGATCTTTTTGGATCTCATCAGCGCGTCGCACGCAGCTCCGACAGAACACAGACCAACCTTTACCTGCTGTCTTAACAGCGCGTTTTAGAAAATAGTACAAATGGCGTGGTGAGTGCCATCTGTAGTACGATGCTACATTTTAGGATTACGTATGCTCCAGCTCCTTGTGGTATTTTCTTTAAAATTCCTAGTCTAAAGTTTCTCCACTGCTAGTGAGTTAGGCTAAATGTGCAATTCCTATTTTTGATATTTCAGGAAAAGTAGGAATTACAATAGATTCACGATGGGGCGAACCCAAAACAACTTCACCAAAAGATATTGCAGCAGCTGAACGTGCGATACAAATGAATGTAAGTCATTGTGAATATTCTGTAAATATTTTGTATAGATATGTGCTATCTCTGTTATGCTTTCAGTTTGGATGGTGGATGAACCCAATATTTTCAAACGACGGGGATTTCCCCAAAGTAATGAAAGACAGAATAGAATTTGTTAGTAAATCTCAAAACTTCAACGAGTCCAGATTGCCCACTTTAACATCTTCAGAAATTAAATACATTCAAGGAACCTATGATTTCCTCGGATTAAACCATTACACAACAAGATTTATCGAAGAAGGTAATTTAACTCCTTCTCAAGTACCATCGTTTGATGACGATGTTGGAGTTAAAGCAGTAGTAGACCCAAAATGGAAACAATCAGCTGCCGACTGGATATTTGTAGTTCCCTGGGGATTTAGAAAACTCCTCAACTGGATACGTGTGAAATACAATAACCCTTTGGTTTTTGTCACCGAAAATGGGTATGCTGATAAGGGAGAAGTGAACGATGTCGGCAGAGTTGACTACCATAATGTGCGTAAACATTCAAAAATAAAGTATACCTATATTTGTATCTATCCACATATATATATCTACCATTTTTACAAAATTTTAGAAGTAGAGAAACTTAACAGCGGACAATTACTTTTCTTTTTATTTTATAATGCGTTGATACTTTTGTTTAAAAATCTGGAGAAATATTATACTGAATTTACTGTAGTCAATTTTCCATACAAAGAAGAGAAAACGTTATCTATTTCTCTTTTTTAATATTCTTACAGCAATATCTGACACAACTGCTGCATGCAATTGAGGACGGTTGCAATGTGCAACGCTATACAATATGGAGCTTAATTGATAATATGGAGTGGTCATCCGGCTACACGTAAGCAAAAAGATATTATTCATATTTTTGATTTATTTCATTTAACAAGCTTTCATGGAGATATATAGAGGTCGCGAGTGATAAGGTCAAGAATAAATCAATGAAATTGACGTTTTTCAAAGGAATATGTTTTTCAAAAATGAGTATGAAAACTACATAGAAATCCAATGACATTTTTAATTATTAATAATGGTTAATATGAAATATTAATGTGAAACTTCATTTTCAATTTTCTATCCACTACAAACTACATCAAGTTAATGAGGGAAAATTTCTGTTGCTGTTGTCACATCCCCGTCGGAAATAGAACCCGGGANTTCAAGGGTAATTTTAAACTTAATTAGGACATACGCTTGCAAACAACGTTCTTCATTACATACTGGTGTAGTTGTAATATTAATAATATTAATTAACTTTACGATTACCGTAGAAGAAATCCCAATCATAGGGTAAAACGTTAAGAAGAGATTGTTAATATTAAAAATATATTAATGAATCTTTTATAGCATTTATTCTTTCGAGAACACTATCTTAACTATCTTAAAAGTAACATTAGTAGTAACAGTTTAGTAACTATACTCTGTTTATTTTAAAGTGACTAAAAACCCAGTGACCACCCTTGTCTCCCCTTAGCTGTAATTGCCTATTACCTATGGCACCATTCAAAAGAAACATCATTTGTATTCTGTTAATACGCAATAGACACAATAAGGATTACTATCCTTTAACATTGTCATTAAATAAGGTTCAGACTTTCTCTTTATGAGTGCTGATGTCAGTCAGTCAACCGAAAAACATCGCAGTTTTATTGTTTCATCCGTCACCTTAAAAAGAAGGCCGACTTTAGTGTAATTTTCTTATGTACTTTTATGCAAGGAAAGTAAAAGTAGGGGAAAGAGCGAATATAAAGATAGGAGACGAAGAATTAGAATAATAAATAAATAAAGATAATAATAATATCAGATAATTCAGGACGGAAGGAGTAGTAGAGATATAAAGCAGAGGATAGTGCAGGGTCGAGTCGCCTTAAAAAAAAGTCACTTCTATGCTTATTATAAAAAGGTGTATGCTTGGATCGGGGCGCTGTACGGATGCAAAACATGGACGGTTAGCTCTGTGGAAAGGAAAAGGTTAGAAACGTTCGAAATGTGATGTTACAGGCGAATGATGAGGATACCGTAGATAGAGAAGTTTAAAAGTGAAGAAATACGAGGGTGGATTGATAAGTTTCCGGCCTAACCAAGAGATGACGCCACTAGGCCTACCTTGAGGTGACATTCTATAGTAGCATCCTTGGATAGCTTGTAGCTATAGTTTCAGCCCGATCTCCTTGCTAGTGTAGGTTTGACAGCACGCTGAACAAGACGCCTCTGTGGTTTTCGTAAAAATGGAAAAGCAGGAAAATCGT